ATATCTATACAACAGAGTAACTCTTTACAGTAGAAAATCTATTAGAATCTCATCCTGGTTCCACCACTTACTCACTGTCTAATTCTGGACAAGACATTTATTGTCTTATTAAGTTTTCTTACTAGTAAAATTAGTATGGTACCATACATATAATACCATAAATACAATACCACAAATGCCACATTTGTGGTATTGTATGGACAGAAGAGGGTCAACTACTCAAAATTCCTTGCAAACTATTTAGGATGATTAAAGTATGAGGCATTTTAAAAATACCTCAAAAGGATAAACATTCTAAATTACTTGTTTTTACATTGTTAATTATAATGGCTTGATTGCAGCATACTTTATAATTATCATACTGTTATAAAATCTGTTGCTATGACATGTTAAATTCTAAAAACCCATCAGCTTAGTCAACATTTAGAAAAATGTTACATTTCAAAAATATCCTTTATAATATCATAATAAATTATGATATAAAAGCCTAAAAACTGCTTTTTCATATATATATAATTGTACCATTATTGTAGAAAATGTTCTGTTCCCAAATCTAAGAGATGCTCTGGCTTCTAAAATGTAGGAAACCAAAATTACATTCTTGGCACATTTACCTATTATGTATAATAAACTAAGGGTCAAATTTTAGATGATGTAGTTTGACATTTGGGATGCTTGTTTGGGAATATGAGGTGAAAATATTATATCACAATTTAATTTAGTACATTACATTACTTTCATTGTTAAGATTAATACTTAAAGTTTCTATCATTGCCTCACTTGTCAGAATAAAAATAATAAAGTTGCCACAAAAAGGCAGCAACTTAGTAATGAAAAATTAATATAAGGAGAGCAAATGTATTTTTGGGCAAGGACAAATATGCTGTGTCAAGTCTTTGCAAACTTGTAGGATTCTTTTAAATGTTAAAATTAAATAAATTGATTTAACATTAAATAACAGATAACAAGTAGAACCAAGGTTTTAAATAAGTAATACATGGTCTGAATGAACAAATTTTAACTCTTAAGATTTTTTTTTAAGTAATGATTTTAGCAGTAGCAACAACAAAGCTTAAATAATGCCTTCTGATGTTTTACTATTTACAGATTTATCAAAACATACAAATTA